TCTGTTATGAATGAATTATTATGCAAATGGCATTTTCTTCATTACGTCTTTATATCTAGGTACTTCACAGTGTCCAGTTTTAACCCTTGACAGACATAGAATTTAGCTCACTCTACAATTTGTGGTGTGTGTTTATGTGAAAAACATTTATTTTGTGAACAGCTAATTTTGCCTTATTCTTGAGTCCCCACCGTGGTATCCAGGGGCAGCCCAGTCAGCATGCCCTTCGTGGTTCTAACTTAGTTCTGTCTGATAATGTAAACAGCCCCTTTGGAAAACAGCCCTTCTATCTAGGGGAAAAAATTATGCTCAAATTGTCCCCTCCTCTTTTCTCCTTAGGCTGAGGTGTGGCCCAATCAAGAGGGGTAGGACTTATTTCTCTGTCACTGTGGCAAGAAGTTCTGGAATTCTTGGGTGTAGTGTCCTTGTCATTCCTGGATGTTCTTGGACACGTTCCTTAAGGACCTCAGGCTGCTCCCCATGGCTCGCTGAGCTTGCCCTTCCAGACCCTGAGAACCAGTTGTTAAAATTTAAGGAATTTGTCAGTTGGCTGTGAAACAGTTAAACAATGCCTATAGTAAAAATTAAAGTATATAAACTTACAATTAAGTAGATTGTAATAAAGAGTAATACACAAGGGGCACCTGGGTGGCTCAGTGGGTTAAGCGTCTGCCTTCGGCTCAGGTCATGATCTCGGGGTCCTGGGATGGAGCCCCACATGGGGCTCCTTGCTCAGCAGGGAGTCTGCTTCTCCCTCTGACCCTATCCCTCCACTTGTGCTCACTCTCTCTCTCTCAAATAAATAAACAAAATATTTTTTAAAAGAGTAACACTTAAGACTCATCACTTCCTAATTAGTTCACTGCATTTTTCTCTCATTTATGCCCTTGAAGTCACCTGCATGTCTTGTGGTGGGAATGCTGTATAATCGTGTGCTATGTCACATCTTTTCCCAGCCCTGGGTTCAGTGACTTCACATTGGCCGCTTGAGATAGGAGAATCACACCATGGAAGCTGGCTTGATTTATTGTCTTATTGCTTGTCTCGAATTAAGAAGTTTTGAAGGCCATGTTCATGCAAGGCTATACTTACAAATGTGTTATGTCAGGACCAAAAATCTGATGCAATATGGTACATTGTCCAAAAACCATTATCTTACTTCCAAAAGATGTCCGTCAGGTCAGGTCATTGATAAATGAGCAAGGTCTGACACACTTCATTGTTTCATTTTAATCTTACTCAGAAGCCAGCAAACTTTCTGTAAAGGGCCAGATAGTAGCTGTGTTAAACTTTGCAGGCTACCTAAAGTCCATGTTGCCCATTCTTGTTGGATTTTTTTGGTTGTTTTTCATTGTTTTGTTTTGTTTTTTTTCTTACACACCCTTTAAAAATGTAAAAACCATTTTTAGTTCAAAGGCTGTATAAATTCCAGAGCGTGATTTGGCCTGCCAGCCATAGTTTGCTCACCCCTGGCTCTACTCATTAATGTCAGTGAAAATACCCACCAAATGTCAAGGTCATGTGCACTAATTGTAACCACAGACTGGCTGTGGATATAAGAGTTCAACAAAAGTCATCAAAAGTATTTTGTGAGAATCATTTGGCCAAATGGCATTTACAATCATGAGTACTATATATCTAATTATTTGTAAATTGTGGGCTACACAGCCTTTGTATCAATAAAATGTGTAGTAAACTCATAAATGCATATCTATCCATCCATCCCTCTCTCCATCCGTCTGTCCGTCCATCCATCCATCTAGACATCTAGATCTCCATCCCTGTCCATCCTGGAACATTCACCACCACACCACGGTAGTTCTCCCTGCTCCTGTGATTACCCATCTATCTTCTGTACCTTACAAACTGGTTTCCCTGGACATGGTGTCGGTGCTCCATAGACCCCTCCCTTTGCCATGTGGCACCCACTCTGTCCCAGCCTGCTTAGTTGGCACTGTACCCTTGACAGCAAATATTTACAAATAACTAAATATATAGTACTCAGGGCTGACTGGCGGGCATTTGTTGCCCACAAACTGGTGTCCGAGTCCTGTAGCGTGATGTGCCATGTCCTCCCTGAGCCAGTCCTCCGAGCCACATGCTGTGTCCCACCCCCCGCATGTTCACCATTCTTCACTGCCTTCCACATAGTGCTCCTCATCCCTTTCGTGCTTGATAAATTACACACTCATCCTCCAAGTGACTGCTGCTAAATCTGCGTGGTTTATATCCTACACTTACATTCAACATTTAAAAATTGGAAGGTTTTGAGAAAATTTAGAATGAACCTTAAGTTATGTTTTGTTTTTGTTTTTGTTTTTTTTAAGATTTTATTTATTTATTTGACAGAGAGAGAGAGAGAGAACAAGTAGGTAGAGCGGCAGGCAGAGGGAGAAGCAGGCTTCCCGCCGAGCAGGGAGCCCGACGTGGGGCTCGATCCCAGGACCCTGGGATCATGACCCGAGCCAAAGGCAGACGCTTAACCGACGGAGCCACCCAGGCGCACCAAACCTTAAGTTATGGATTCTAGGATATGTTACTATGGGGTTTTGTGACGTAGAGTAATTATACTAGTAGGAATCATTTGGAGATCTGTACCCAGGGCCAGGAGGCATGATTAACATGCTGCTCTGTTGGCTCACTTCACTTCTGTCAGTGCCCCCATGGCGTGAGTTCAACTGAGAGGAAACTGAGGCACAGAGAATTCAGTAGGTCTCCCAGTGGGGCCTCATAGCCAAATCTGTGGATGCCCAAGGCCAGTGTCTCACTGACTTCTATTATGTATAGTTCACTACACATGTGCATGGTGGAGTCTACTCAAAAATCTGACAGCAGGGGAGCCTGGGTGGCTCAGTCGGTTGGGTGTCGGGCTCTTGGTCTCAGCTCAGGTCCTGTTCTCAGGTTTGTGAGATCAAGCCCCGCGTCAGGCTCCTTGCTCAGTGCGGGGTCTGCTTGGGACTCCCTGTACCTCTCCCTCTACCCCTCCCCCCTGCTTTCTCTCTCTCTCTCTCTCTCAAATAAAGAAATCTTTAAAAAAAAATCTGACAGCATTTTATGAATGTTTTTCTAATAAAATCTGTCTCATACTGTATTTGTAGTATAAGTGCTTTGCTATGAAAACTTTAAAGCACTGTGTTGATATTAGTTAATTCAAGATGAATAATTTCGTTTGCTAAAAAAGTAAATATTTGGGTAAAAGAGTTATTTATCTTCTGAGGAAACCATTGGTAAATGTATTTAATTAACTGTTGTTGGCAATGGACTGTTCAAAATTAAGGGCAAGAAGTATGCGAGGGAGCAGGAAGTGCATCCATTTATTATACGTGTGCATAGAGAGAGCAGGGAACGGGAGGGAGAAAGGGCACCTGCAAACCACACAGCAGGACAGCTCCTAGAAATACCGCGAGGACAAGAAAGGCAAAGGACTTACCTTCCTGGATGTTCTCCTGATGGCTAAGGGCAGAGATGCCCAAGTAAGCAAATGGTCGCCCCACGCCATGTCAGGTTATACTTGATCCTGTAAGAATGCTGTCTTGGAGAAATTTTTTTGTCACAAACTACCAACGTTAGGAGAATCTATGTTATGAGAAGAATTCAATTCTTAATTGGAGAAAGAACATACTCAAGGGGAAGCCACTTGGAAGGTGAACAGATGTGGACAGACTCCTACTGAGGACAGCTTTCAGGGGGCTGAAGTGAAGGGGCGCAGATCCAAGGAGCCAAGTGTTGCCGCTGTTGAGAGGGCGTAGGGGCATGTCTGACTGCCCTGGGGAGAGAGATTTGGACGAAAGGCCCTCCAACTTAAGGAACGGCTGTCTGGAGGGCACACTGGGCTGGGTATGGGTTGTCTCTGCTGTCTCCACGTCACCCCCATTTTGGAGGGGCTGTTCAATCTCCCTCTTCACCCCCACTGCGCACGTCATCCACGAGACGGCCTTCCTGGAGAGGGGACAGTGGCGGTTGCCATGTCTGCCAGGACCCATGGCGCTCCTCGTGACGTGCGGTTAGCTTTGGGGAAGATGGTGACACACTAGATATTGGAACACATAAATGATTTGGGGTACCATAGAATAGAAGGTACATCAGGTAACACTCCAGACTACAGAGAAACTTCATGGAAAGACAGTATGCTCAGTGAGGTATGCGTCTGAATCCGAGCCATTTAATACTGGTCTGTGGTATAATGGGGGGGAAAAAAGAGTCACTGTTGCTTTAATTATAGTTTTTGTGGAAAATGCATTAATGACTTTTTATTAAGACTGTGATACTGCTATTAACTGTGGAAACGTGCTTTGGGCAATTGATAAGCCTTTCTGTGAGGCTGGTCCTAGAGTCCATTGTAAGAAGTGGAAAATATAACAGTCAGTCTCCTCATGCCTGTGTCATTTCTTGTACTAATGAATTCACCTTTGCTGTTCAGGTGGAAACACAGGTCACCTTCCACCTGTGCATTTATTCTGATAATTGGCATCTATTTTGACCTATTTGGCATTATTAACTTAGGTAGAAATGGCTTTGTGCCCTAGTCCATTCTTGGGAATGGTGGACACCCTGCCAAGAGGTCATCGTGGCAAGAGAAGTTTAATGTCCAGAGTACAAACTTTGTTTTAAGCCAATGGGCCCTAATGAAATTAAAAAATAAAAGTTAAGTGATCCAGTGCCTCCATGAGCCTCGTGAAGTAATTTCTTTTTATTATTTTGCCCTACAAAGGATATACAAACTCGACACGTTGAAACAATAAACTGTAAGAGCGTGTCCCCCTTTCTGAATGATTTGCTCAGCTGTAATAGGAAATGACACTGACAGACAGAGGAATAAGTTTGATGTGCAGACAGACGCCACCAGTCATTCGTACACCAAGTGAGGTCAGAGGGCGGCTAACGAGTCTGCTTTGGCTTTTATGGCTATTTGCATTTTAGGTATTAAGGAAACGCTCAGGTTTTGGTTCATGGTGTGGACGAAGCACGTGCTGTAACTGCCTACCCTTTCGATTTTTCAGCGCTCCGGCTCCTGAAGGAGGGCGCGGATCCGCACACCGCCGTTTCCTCAGGAGGGTCCCTGCTGCATCTGGTGAGAATCCTCTGACTGGGGCACGGTGGGGGGGGGGGGGGGCGACACAGGGAGGAGCATCAGTCGTGGGCTCAAAGTTCAATAGCCAAATGTACATCTTTTTCTAAAGAGTTTATTTATTTATTTGAGAGAGAGAGAGTGCATGAGCAGGGGGTAGTGGGAGAGGGAGAAGCAGGCTCCCTGCTGAGCAGGGAGCCCGATGCGGGACTCGATCCCAGGACCCTGAGATCATGACCTGAGCCGAAGGCAGATGCTTAACCAACTGAGCCACCCAGGCATCCCCCAAATGTACATCTGACAGATGATCATCAAAACATGACACTTTAAAATGATCAGGCTTGGATAACGAGCTGCAGTATTTCCTAATTACTACGTTGTTGTTTATAAGTAATCTTTAACAAATGGAGTTAGAACTTCTGCCCTAAAAAAGATGCTTTTGAAAATGAAGCAAATAATATTGTATCCACTATAGACTATTAGGCAATCATTCTTTTGCTTCTACACGTTGTCTTTGGCTACAGTGAACTTTCTCTATGCTCTGCTCGTGACCAGTCGCATATCAAAGCTCACCAACATTCTTTTGGAGACAAAGCAGTGAATGGCTAAGTGAATCAACAAATAAATAATGGCACAAACAAAAAAATATTATATTAGGTTCATGTGCCAAAAATTTTTACGGGTTCACTTAAAAAGTCAATAGAAGGATTCAATTTAGTGGTCTTTAGGACTAATTTAATGATTAAGCCTTAATTTTGAAAAATATAAAAATTAACATGACATTAAAAACCTAACTTAGGGTCATCTACCAAGGTCAGAGATGAGCTGTATTTCTTTGTGGTACATTGAACTCTGTTAAAAAAGGTCATGCATCAAACAGCCCAGAGCTCCGGAACACGCCACCGGTTCTCAGCCTGGATTGCACGTTGGAATCACCTGGGAGCAGTAAAATGCCGACACCTGCCTCACAACCTTAGACCGGTCCGTGGAGATTCTGACTTAATTTTTCTGGGATGTAGCGATTGGGAGCTCCCCCAGCTGATTCTGATTTGCAGCCTAGGCTGAGAACCACTGCATACAAGAGAAACCTGTGCCTACCAAAGGCTCAAGATATCTGGGGGTACAGACAATCTTGTTATGCGCTCAGCAGAATAGAAAAACAACTCAGAATACTGATAGGAGACAGTCTGTAGAGGAAATGTAAACTGTTTCTCTCCAGCATTGATTGAGACAGAAAGAGATTTCTAGATGACTTTTTCCTTCTCTGGAGTGTTTTGGTTTTGAAACCTCTCCATTTGAGACTCAGATCATTACACGGCTTACATGAAATTTCTAAGGAGCCAAGCCTTGTTAGTTCCTAGATCCCAGGTCCGATGATGATAAGCAATGCTAGCTAGACTAAGGTTGTGCTGCTCTTGGTCAATATGGTTATCTCTCTACCAGGAGGTCCAGTGATCAGCATGTTCAGAAGGACACCAGGCCAGGCCCTGCTTTCTTTTCTTGGGAGTGTCTACACCCGCTTCTGTGTCCCCCGTTAGAAGATGATCAGGAGAGAATTCGATCCCATGCCAGCGCCTTTGGTCTTTTCCTCTCATGTGTAACTTCATGTACACTTACTCCTTTCATGAAGTTTGAGGAGATGCTTAAGCTCACGGAGGCTCATTTTTCCCATCTGTGAAATGGGGATATTATCTGGGCTATTGTACTCAGAGAATTTATTGTGATGAATACACATCACAGCATGCATTGTGATGATCAGATAGATGTGAAAATAACTTTTAGGCCATAAAGTGTCTTTGCTATGTTAGATATTGATCAATATGCACATTATAGTGTATTATTTATGATGCATTTTCATATAAATTAATTTTTTATTCACCATAGCTCTGTGTGCTTGGGAGTATGCCTGTGTGACTTTCCTAGTTAGAAACTGAGAAACAGAAGTATGAAACAATTTGGCCAAGTTCACTTAGTAACAGATAGTACAGAGCTTCCACTCTGGCCTCTGCTGACACACGGTTCTTGTCACACCTGTTCCCCAGTGATACCTGCAAGGTGCTCATTTCAGTTGTCAGAGAACACACTGTCATTCTAACTCAGCTACTGGAAGACAGGCCTTTTCTGTAAACAAATCATGTGAATTCATTGTTAATATTGCCAAAAACGTATCATTACTGAGCCTGTGTGTGTTTGAGAGGGAGAGAGACACACCCATGACAATATATAAAATGCATTTGCCTGTAATGAGCACAAAGAAGTGCATCCTGTCAGCAAATCAGTGCTTGCTTTCTGGGCCTCTGACCTACAGCCAGATGCCACTGTGTCCCTTCACCTGGACCACTGCCACCCCCTCCGAAAGCATCATCCCTTTCACAGGATAAGCAACAGCCTCTCATCTCCCTGCCCTATCCTCACCTACCTGCAGGCTGTTGCCACACAGAAGTCAAGTCACCGTCTCTCCTCCATCAGAATACACCAGGAACTTTCCTTCCCACTCAAAAAACAAACAAACAAAAAACCAAAGTCCTATGTAGAGCCATACCATGATCTGCCCCCACCATGGCCCCCGCCCCGTTCCTCCCCTCTCGTTCTCACGGCTCCTTGCTCTGCCCGCCACACTCCCACCAGGTGCACCCCCTCCCTTCTGTCTTTTACACTTGGAACATTGCTCTGCAGGTATCCACACAGCTCACGCCCTCGTTCGCTTTGAGTCTCTGCTCAGAAGACATCTAACAGAACAGCCTTCCCTGGCTTGCCCTGTAGGATAGGGCAAACAGATCAGAGACCCATGTGATTCTGTCCTGCTTCTTAGACCGTCCACTCCATGAGAGCAAGAACTGGACATATTCTCATCAGCCTGTTGTATCTGCGATGCCTGGGGGAGTGCCCAGCACTTGGTAGATCCTTAGTAGATTTGTGGAGTAGGAAAGTTAGTGCATTAACTACTTAATTAATTAGTATCTGATGCTATGATCGCTCTTAGGGGTGCAAAGATTCAGAACACATTCTGTGCCCATATGGAGTTTGGTTTTCCCAGGAAGGGAGGAAAAATAAACCACTGATTACGGCAGACCTGGGAGAGGGGTAAACAGGAGATCATGGCAGAGGACCATAATGAGGCCACTCCTGCCTTGGGAGAACAGTTCTGACACCTTCTCCGACCCTCCTGATCAGACGTAATTACTCTTTTATCCAAGACCTCCCAGCGCATGATCCTTGCTTCTGCTACAGATCTTGTCATGATGGGTCATAATTAATGGATGATGTGCCCTTTCTCTCTGCCAGACTGCATTTTCAAAAACTGTGACTGTCTTAGATACTTTTATATCCTTGGCGTGTGATGTGCAGGAAATAGTACGTCGTCCACGAATGAACAGATGAATGAATGGGCCCCAAGGACATCAGGCTAATGAGAAGTGAGTTATTTGAGGCCCAGGTCACAGAGTATAAAGACTCAGAAATGGTGGGGTCAGAAGGAAAATGAAATGAGAGGATTCAAGTGAGAAGGCAGAGGGAAACACTTTCCTAACTCTCCGTTCAGTGCAGCTGTGTTGCATCTTCATACTGTTAGGCATGGGCTGCGAGCCTCGGATAAAGGGAAGGTGGAGCTGGGGTGTGCTTGAGAAAGCCTGGGTACGGCCGAGGGGCCACGGGCTCAGCACCGAGTCATCTTCTCCTGGGGTTCCTGAGTAAATAAAAGCAAATGAAAAATTGCGAGTTGCCAGAGAGACAAAATTACAGGGTTTCAACATGTCTTAGGTACTGAAAAAGGCAATTTCGCTATCTGAAATGTCAAGTGTGAGCATCTGTGCTGTTGGCCCCACCTTTGGGGCATCCTGCGCTGTGAAGCCTGATGTGTTATCAGCACCGAAGCTCTAATAATAGAGGCTTAGATCAACGCCTTTGAGAAAAAGGCAGCCTCTGTTTGTGTGGGCCATCGAGAATAAGTGGTGGAAATTGTTGAGATTTTCGGAGTTTTATTTAACTCAATTATTCTTTATTGAGTGATTCCAAGTGTAGGTTTTGGTACATTTCTCTTAGAAGCGGCGGGAGAACTTTGATGTTGGAGATGAACAAATTCCATCCCGTACAGGTAGATATTTGAGAAGCAGGTTTGAGTATATTTTGTCATATAAAATCTTTAGTTTTATCTTCTTTTAAAGTTTTCACCAAATACCTCTGGATTAGCTTGTTTGCCTACCCTTCCGTAAATAATTCATGTGTCAAACATATGGCAGGTGTCAAGTCCTGTGATCAACCGAGGGGAAGTAATTACAGCAGGTGACAGGATCTGCACCCCAGGAGGCCAATAGACATGGACACTCAGATTTAAGTCTCAGGAAGAAATTACGATATTTGTGGATTTGGAAACAGCACCACACAGGTTTTCCGAAACCACTGTCCAGGGTTTTATGTTATGACCTCTAATAAATGAGCTCTCGAGAAGGAGCTCCTGATGGTGACCAAACCCTCTAAAAGGGAGCATGAAACACAAATTCTTTTAGTGTGGTCTTGTGACAGCAGCTGACTACAGTGAGGCTTGAGTGGAATGCATTAGAAATAGGAACTACCCTTTCTTTGACCTGGTGAATTGTGTATATAGTACAGGCAGGTAGAGAGAGAAAGAGAGAAAGGGGGAGAATCTTTTGCTAGAGCAGAGAAAATCTCGAAGGCTAGACCAGAAACTTTTAGCAGTGACTCAGGTTGAGGAAAGGAGGCAAAGTCTTTTCATTTTTACATGTATGTTTCATATAATAAAAGAAATTGTTAGAAGTAGTTCTGACTGCCGTTTCGTTAGAGGCTAAAATTCTGTTTTAATCACTTCCTGCTCTTCCAAGAAAGTCTGGTGTCTGAGTTGGCTGCTCACTGGGCTTCACTCTCCACATCTTTCAAGCTTCGGGAGCTGGAAGAAGCAGAGATAATTAGCAAATTACTACAGTTGCAGCTGTTCCACATTTTAGTGTCTTAGAGGAGGGGGAATATTATATTTTGAAAGGAGTCAG